GGGTGTAAAAGTAAAATGGAACCCTTGGGGCAATACCTGAAACCTGAGAAATGGATTTTGATTTAATTTATTTTGTAAAGTCTATGGGACCAAAATATAAGTTTTGGGTTTGTTTCTTTTTGTTTCAGTGGGGTTTTTTGTTTGTTTGGTTTTGTGGGGTTTTTTTGTAATTCAAATGCTAAATGTGTTGTGGTATTTATGGCTTCTTATTGTGTAAATAATAAAAGGATTTCAGGATAAAAGGACAAATGGCGTAAAGGACCCAGGAGGGAATCTGCCAAACTAATTTTAAAATATTAATAGTTAAATCAGTGTTTGCTGACACCGTGTGAGTGAACAGAGCTCAACAGCATTGGGGTAATGAGAAAAATTAGCAACAGGAAAAGGGTTATGGACAATGAGTAAATTTGGTTAAGAGATAATCATCAAATCCCAGAATGGCTTGGGGTGGAAGGGACTTCCAAGCCCACCTCATTCCACCCCCTTCCACAGGCAGGGGCACCTCCCACTAGCCCAGGTTGCTCCAAGCCCTGTCCAACCTGGCCTTGGACACTTCCAGGGATGGGGCAGCCACAGCTTCTTTGGGCAACCTGTGCCAGGGCACTACCACTCTCACAGGGAAGGATTTCTTCCATGAGTAAAGAACTCCTTCCATTAGTATTAAGCACTACCTGTGGTCCTGTTCATGTGAAGTCTCATCTAAATTGATGAAGAACAAAACTCAGCGCTGCCTCTTTACAGGTTTCTGTTTCAAATTCTTTTGCAAATTTAGCTGAGTAGAGAAAAACCTCTTCCAGTCCACTCTGTTCAACTTGGTTTCAAAAATCCACCAGTGCAGCCTTCTCAATAGTATTGGAAAGGTGAATTAGGAGCACATGGTGTAATAGATGACAGAGTAATTCCATATTTCTTGTATGTCTTGGTCTGAAAAATTAAAGGTACACTGTGAGAGGAGGAATGTTTTTTCTTGTTGAGTGTCCTCGTTCTCTGTTGTATCAGAGTCCCTCATGCAGACAAAAAACCAAAGCACACAACCCCTCAGTGGCTGGGAATGGATCAGAGAGCTCATAAAACTCCAGAGAGAGCTAAAACTCCAACTGCTTGGAGGAAATAAAGTGATAAGTATAGGAACTGCAGACGGGCTGCTGGTGACAAGGGGAGGCAACTTTCCCAACAGCAGCAATAAATATATTGTGCTACACTTAGAGGAGACATTTCTCTGGGACTTATTTTAGAGCTCCCAGTGCACATTACATGATATGTGCTGTTGATGAATCTATGAATATGTAACAACAACAAACCAGAAAATCAGTAATTTCCTAAAAGCATGAAAAGACACCTTTAAGGTTTTACAGCATCGCCTTTGGACAGGAGAATGGCAAAGTTCTGGTGTCCTTCAAACACGTGGAGTCCTCTAGATCCACGTACATCTCTTCAGCATTTTGACTTAATCATATGTTATTAATTGCTTGTTTCCAGAGGAAGAATTTCCTTAATTTCTGTTCAAGATTAAAATGTCCACCTCTGAGAAATTATTGGTGTGATTTCAATGAGAAAAGACCATGAATTGGGTTAGAAAATTAGGTCACTTGTCATGGTGACCACTGAGATAAGGGAGAATGTTTTAGAATCTAGATGAGCTTCATCACCTGAAGTTCTGCTGCGTGATAAAACTTCTGTACTTGGTTTAATTTTGAACAGTTTTGGACCATTCAAACCTGATTCGGACTTTACCTCTGTTGCTTGGCAGCAATGGTATCTGACAGGTTTGGGCAGCCCTGTCTGGGCATATCAGCCCCCAAGTCTGCAGCTCAGTTCTTCTACCAACAACGGAGTCGGAGACCTTCTTGTTCAGTCAACTTCTTGGGATTACAAGTTGAGGGCAAGGGACTGTATTAGTTAATATGCACATTTGGGGGATTCACAGGGTGTATTTCCTCATATAGATTATAATGATAAATGTAGAAATATTGTCAGAAATACCTATGTTGAATCTTAATTACAGTCTGTGCACCCTGACTGCAGCCTGCAATGTTTCTGTATTCAATACATTGATTTTTAAGTGTAGTCAGTTCAAAACAGTTTTGCAATCCACAGGAGAGTTCATTAAGAGCCTTGTGCAATATGGTACGTGTCCATTATTCTCCTTTTCTAAGTTACTATGTCCCCTTACAATAACTTTACCAAATGAGCCACTTAAGAGTACATTTTAAGGATGTTTTCAGTTTAATTATCACTGTTGAAAGACGTATCTCCATTAGCTTTGTGAATACATGGCAAAGAAAACTTAATCATTGACCGATTCATGTTTTATGGAAGTGCTTCTATATCCAGCTCATTGCATTCAGATCAGTTGTTCCTCTTAAAAGGGCAGAGAGGTAAAATCCTTAAAACTCGCTTAGGAATCCCAAGGCAGAGCTGCTTCGTTCCCATGAACTGGGGTTCCACTATCAAAGAATTCATCATTAATAACTTCCCAACTTGCAGCTATGCTTTTTCTCCTGCGTTTCCCACTCCTCTCACTCCTCCTGCTCCTTGGATGTGTTTTCTCTTTCCAGGGCTCAGCGAGGTTGTTCTGTGCCCAGCAATGCAGGGCTTCCCTGGCACAGACCAAGAGCTGTGTTTTCCTTTGCGAGCCGCGTTGTTGTGCAGTTGGGTGCATTTCACTGCCATTGTCTGCTTCCCCACCAAGGAAAAACAGAGCTCTTCTATCCCTGAGCACAAAGAACAAACTGTTGTTGGGGGGAGGAGTATCTACAAACCTGTAAATCTTTCTCCTCCTGTTTATTCTTCATGCCATTCAAGCCCATTTAGCAAAGGACCAATTAACTCCAGACTCATGGCACATTCTGAGGGGCCAAATTTCTCCTATCAGAGATGACACAGCCAAATTTTCAAATACTTCCTAGTTGAATGCAGCATTTGGTTTTCCTTGCTCTTTAGTTCATAGTTCCCAACCTGTTACTCCAGCTGTCAAACAAATTGACATTTTCTCTAATTTTCTCTCCATTTTCTCATCAGCAATATGGTAAAATATAGGGAAAACGTGTACCAAATCCAACTCATTGTGCACCCAGTTTTTTATTATTGTGACTAAAACTGTTTAAAGGTATTTGTCCTTCAGTAATTATTCTGCTAACTGTACATGGCACATCACTGCATACGGAAATATACAGGAAGCAGGAGTTTTACAGATTACTGTCCTATGGTAAAAACATGCTGCAAAGGTAACAATTTGTAAAGTAACTCTAATCAGTGAAGAAAGCACACTTTTGACTATGATATGGTATCCACGAAGTCAAAACCCAATACAAAGTGGTGGTGGTGGGGAATTCTAATATCATTTGTTAGATCTGAATTATTTTACCATAATATAGTGTTGCAATGAACATATCTACTGCATGTGGTTGCATTTTATATCTTGAAGTTTATAACTTGGAATTTAGGAGAACTCGGAGCAGTGACTCAATGACCAATAAAAATTTGCTTTTATATTGACAGTTTGAAATGAAATTGTGTTAATAGCTTTATTTTGATATGCCATTCTGGTGCCTGAATTGAATAAACCTTCTATTTTGTGTTAAGTGGCAGGTCTGCAAAGAAACTGTGTATTAACCCTGATTATACGTTGCTAGGATTAGGTACTGCATTGGTTTGTGTTCTTACAAAAATAATATATATACAAGAAGTGAGATAAAAACCCCCACCATTCAGATGAGCCCTAAAAGGTCAGGTTGTGAAACTGTAACATCTTTTGATTTTTTCTGTGATTCTTCTGCTTCCCTTCTCAGTTCTTTGTTTTCACAGTCTTAGGTGGGAGTTTTGCCCCAGAACTATCAATGGGCACAAGATAAACCTGTATCATCTACTCCTTGTAATGTTTGCTGCTCTCAACAGGAGTCAGTGAAATGTTTTTTTACTGATGCCTCTCTGAGCCTTATTAAAGGGGGGAGATCCTGTGGTCTGGAAGTAGGAAAGAATCTGGTGTGTCCCAGACAATTTGCAATATCATCAGTAACGTTGGGCCATGTTTATTAACCAGTGAAAAACAACATTAAAATTAGATTTTTTTTTTTATGGGTCACAAATGAGTAAAGCAGCAGGAACAGAATGACTCTAAAAACACAGAGAAATATTTACCACTCAAATGTCTGAAGAAATTAGCAGTGATAAAAAGGAAATACCATAAAGGGAACGCAAAATGGCTCTGAAAAACAAGTGAGTAGCCTTTAAATTTGCCTCTTTAAGCTTGCCTGGATGTTTTCCTGGATTTCTGAGCTCAGGCTTTTTTGGTGGGGGGAGGAAAGAATAATGTAAATGCCAAAAAGAGTTGGACAAAAAGTAAGCTTTGTATCCTATCTATGAGAATCAGACGGTGTGTGTCATGCTAGTTTTTACAGTCATAGTCTGCAGTCTCCCACTGATTAAAATGCAATTTGACAGTAACACAATATGGAGGTTTAACTGACAGCACACACAGCACATTTGCGAGTCATAACGCCACAGTTTAATGACTGACGCATGTGGGAAGCTAATTCGCATTTTTTTTTCTTGAATGGGATAAATGAGCATCCAGTTAATACCAATCATGAATTCAAGCCATGTGACAAAATTGATGCTACATACCCTGTTCTTGTTTTGCATATTCTGCAAATTGAGCTGCAGGAAAAGAGCCAGTTTGTACACATATCCGGAGAGAAAGTTCATTCTGCTCTCTGACACATCCACCAATTGCAGCTGAATGTATCCAGCTTGCTGCTGTTGTGTTCACAAACTAATTACCCTTTCTCTGTTAAATAGCCTAAGAATTACAAATTGTATGCCTGTTTTGAGAAAAAGTACAGGTTGAACAAGCAGACGTAGTATAAATAAAATATTTATATAAAAATAGTCTCTTACAAAATATACTCTCTTATCCTATGGTTGATTTTTCCAAAAGATGGAAGTTTGTCTGGATTTTCTTTTTTTTATACATATTCCAAACAGGATTTTATTAATGCTTCTTTCTTTAATCGAAGAAAAAAAAAATAACCACAAAGCCTGGTAAAGATTTGTAACCCCTACCACTCGACTTTTGTTCCAGACAACTAGCAGCAAACAGGAGAAAACAAACAAACAAACAAAAACCCCCAAAACAACAGTGTTTGTGTATGTACATATATATAAAGATGCCAGCTTTTGTACTTAAACATCTAGTACTGTAGAACATATCCTGCAAGTCCAACTAATAGAAATATCCTAGTTAAGAATAATATGTACAGCTCCAGTTCTTTCCTTGCTGTTCCTACAAAATTATTCCACAAAGAAAGCCAGCTATCTACTTTAATTGCAGAATAGTTCCCCAAAGGTTGGTAGAGTTCTTTTTTAATTAAATAAATTAATATTAGTTTTATCTGAATAAATTGTTAAATATTGCTATTATTATGCCCGAGTGTCCCAAATCCCTGTGCTAAAATCTGCAGCACACACACACACGAAAAAGGCAGGTAAAGCAGTGTTTACAGAAACCTTCAACAGTTCTACTCGCTGTGGCAAGGGGGAGGAAGTGGAAAGATGGGCAAGACCAGCAGAAGCTTTTCACGAGTGTAGAAGCCAAAACCTGTGTCATCCACACGCTCACACGGGCCCTTCACAGTGGGGCTCTGTCCATCCCATCCTGTGCAAAGCCCTTTTGGGGGGATTTCTCCCCTATCCCTCCCTGCTCCTTATATTTGACCATCTCTTTTCCAAACCAGGAGTCAGTTGCCACCCTCAGAGATTTCTCCCCGACCGGTGCGTCTCCACAAGGCAGTCAATGCTTCTTCCTTTAGAGGTGCAGGTTAACTGAGATGATCTTTTTCTCTCTCTTTTATGTGTCAGGTGGCTCAGGGTGGGGTTTGTTTGTTTTTCTTTCTTGGCTGACTTTATGAGTCTGAAATGTGTATCCACGTAAGCGATGAAACGTGAGAAGAAACGAGGGGCCTCCGTCCATCAGCAGTTCTTCTGGGAGAGCGGGTCTGCCCTACAGTCTCGTGTGGGTCCATCGAGTGCATGTGCAAAGGTATCCATGGCCAGGGCCGTGCCCACGTGCTCACTTACAGGTATAGACCTCTGTTCTCTCGCTGCACGTGTTGCACTTGACGTAGCAGCACCAGTGGAACTTGCAGTTGCACTGCCACACCCGCGAGTACTGGTGGGTGTTGTACCCCCGCCCGCAGCACATCAGGTCGCAGCCGTTGGACTGCTGGGCTGTCTTGTTGCACATCCTGCCCTGTGTGCCCACGCTGCCAGTGACAGGGTCTTCTTCACAATAGTTGGGGGATTTCTCTATGTACACCAAGTCTGTATCCATGGGTTTGCGGTAGGAAAGGGGCTTCTTGATTTTGAGGAAGGTCGGGCGCTTGTTGCGACTCGCCCGCACGGGCTCCACCTGAACGGCCTCGTTGTACTTGTCCTTCAGGATGTAGCCCAGCTCCCGGAATTTGGGCAGGGTTGTCCAGCATGTTTTAGTGGTACAGGATCCCGAGACCCCGTGGCACTTGCACTCTAACTTCATGTTTTCTTCCAGAATCTGTGTTAGAAGAACAAAGAACGATGCGTTAACGAAAGCAGGGGTATTTGATGAATATTGGATGACAGGCAGGGATGGGTTTGCTCTCCAGTAGGAGCTGCCACCAGAGCCAGGTCACATTCCCACCAAAGCTGTGGGTTTTGCTTGCCTGGACACGCTGTTGTCCCAGGTAGCAAATGCTCATCACTATCAACCAAGTTCCGCCTGTGAAGCTCATTCCCCCTTTGCACTTTGAGTTAATCAGGGAGGATAACTTTGCCTAATTTCATAGTCCAGGTCCCAAAGGCAAGATGGGACCCTCCTTAACCACAGCTTTTCTTTGATATGATTGTACAGTGCTTCAGATGTATCTGTTCTTGCAATGTTTGGCATATGGCAGTGAAATTAGGAGCTGGCAGAAAATCACACCTTCACATGAACTGCCACGTGCAGAATTCTTTCAGAGTGCAACAATAGGTGCCAGAACCTGACTTTTGTAAAGAGAGGTTCAAAAATAAACTGCATCTCAGTCCTTGCACCTCAAAATGACATAGGCTGGTGCAAGAGATGAACAAGCTGATACTCTATCAATGCTTGTCCTCCTGTAGGTCTCACATTAATCAACATATGGAGCAGATTATTATTTAGCCATGTAGGCCTCATTTGTTCTAAATGGTGCAAGTTAATGCTCCAGTTTGAAAAGCTAAGCATTATTTTGATATACCCACAGTCAAACACACTTTCTGGAGGGTTTGAAGTATTTTTGCCTCCTGTGACATGGATAACAGCAAACAAATGTCTCAGCTACTTTGCAAGAAAACAAGTTCTGTCTTAGAGCATAAAGGGTAAGAGTAAAGGAATCAGTTTCATGTTTTGTCATCAATTCTTGTTAAAAAATGTCTACCTCTTTAATGCTGTAAAAGCATCTTAAACTCCTCAACTTCATGGCTTGCTCCACTCTGTCTCATGCTCCCTTCTTTGTAGGGGTCTCTCGTGGTTACGCCTGAGTTGTCACTACTTTCCTTTTGAAGATAACAAGCTTCATCTTCCACCTTCACATCCCTTGAAACTCTGTCCCTGTATCTTCTCCCTCCTGCTGTGTTACCAGCCCAGGCTTTGCCAAATAAAGCTGGAGACCAGCTTAGTCCCTGCTCTGTGTCCTGAGCCCCACAACTGACCTCACTCAGCAGCAACATTGGGTTAACACCAGCAAACATACCTGATTCCAGCAATTAATTTCCCACTGGTCTGTACTTGAAAGAGACCATAATAATTTTGATGATGAAATTCTGCCTAACCTGGCAGAGACCAGCAGTGGAAAGCCCAGCCAGAGGGATTATCAGGGTTCAGGGAGTGGCCACATAATTTTTCCCCTGAGACAACCCAGCTGATCCGTGCAGTTCCAAACCTGGGCAGCCTGGAAGGCTGGAGGGAGGTCAGTGATATGGAAATTTGAATTAACCCTTCTTTTACAGTTGGAGAACTTACTGTGCAGACTCAAACATCAGCCTTTTTCAGCAGAAAACAGGTGAGCCTTCACTGAGGAAGTTGATTATTCTCATACCTTTTGGTCTTGAGGCTGTTCCTGTGTCACCTTGGCACAGAAACTGCTATTGCCTGACCTTGGGATAATTTGTAGCTGCTTCTTTGCTCCCTGCTCTTCCTCTGCCTGTTTTCAATGAACATGGGGATTTTAAGGTATTAAAACAACAGGCTGAGAGAGTTGGGGCTGCTCAGCCTGGAGAGGAGAAGGCTCCAGGGAGACCTCATGGCAGCTTTGCAATAGGGGGAGAGGAAATTTTTACAGGAGCATGTAGTGATAGGACACAGAGGAGTGGCTTTAAACTGAAAGAGTATGTTTGGGTGGGATATTGGGAAGAAATTCTCCCCTGTCAGGGTGGTGAGGCCCTGGCACAGGTTGCCCAGAGAAGCTGTGGCTGCCCCATCCCTGGAAGTGTCCAAGGCCAGGTTGGACGGGGCTTGGAACACTAGTGGAAGGTGTCCCTGCCCATGGCAGGGGGATGGAACAAGGTGACCTTTAAGGTCTCTTCCAACCCAAACCATTGTGTGATTCTATGATTTTCTGGTTCTATGAAATTGCTTTGTTTTTACTTTAGCCTATGAGCAAATTGTCCCCACGTGTGGTCCGAAAGCAGGATTCAAAACCCTAGACAGCATAGGTCCAATACTTTGATAGTTGGGAACTCAGCATATGCTAGGTCACACTTTGTGCTACTGGCTTTAAATTAGTTTCTCATGCAAACTATCTAATGACTGCCCTAAAACTGAGAGGTGAGAAACTTTTATATTCAGATCTACATCTTAACTTGCAGTTCTGCTCAAGCTTTGGCTTTATCTTGTTATCTTGAGTTTCTCTCTCAGCCACTGCATACTTCTTTTTATTGCTCACTCATTCATAAGGTAGTGCACTTCGAAGATAGATGAGGAGATCTATGAGGAAAAGGAGTTAGAGCACAGAAACCGGAAAAATAACATAAATTCTTTTAGCCTCATTTGTGCCTTTTTAAAAGTTTGGGTTTTTTTTTTTTTTAATTTGAAACTAGCCAGGATACATTTCTCAGCCTTAATTCAATCACTGTTCTTGTAGAATTGCCTGGCCTTATATCCTGGTACGATGTTCAAACTTGCAAAAAAATATTTCTAACTCGCCTGCCATGGGGATCCGCCAAACTGACTCGAAACATTAATAGAAAATACATCATGTGTCATCTATCCAGGCAGGGGTTTTTTCCTCAAGTGTAGTTAAGCAGCCTAAATTGCCTTTTGGTTTATTTCATTAACATCCCATTTTCAGCCAGCAGCCTCGGCGGGAACGAGCAGCTCCACGGAAAGAGCTGAGCCAGCGGCTGGAGCGGCTCCGGGCGCCCTCGGCTCACGTGCTGCTCTCCTGCTCGGGGACACGATGCCAAACACAACCAGCCGCTGCTTTCCAGGGCTGGGTTGAGCCTGGGCACGGGCAGTCTGGAGAAAAAGATCTGCTTTTGTCTGAACAGGAGGAGTTTGTGCAATGCCAGTTGAGCCCAAGTGCCAGGGGTCCTTCCTAGAGGTCCAAAAATGCTTGGAGGGAGGTGGGAAGGAGCAGCGGGATGAGAAAGAGTTTTGTCTTTTAACTCTCTGCTACAGAGTTCAGCTTTTCGTTTATTATTTTCATATTTTCCTAAAATTTACTGGCCCCTCCCTTTCTCTCTGCACTTGTGGGAGATGCACTTCCAACATGCTGAGCTAAAATCTCTCCAACACACCTGCCCCATTTAGGTCCCCTTCACTCTGCAATTGAGCTTTCCCTTCCAGATTTGCCTCCTACCTGTGGCTCACAATCCCTTTTGTTGGTTCTGTTCTTGCGCACATACCCTCCTCACTGGTGCTGCCTTTCAATACCATCTTTTGCAAATTCAGCCAGAGATGAATTGACTCTCCAGCCTTCAGAAAACAGGCTACATGGAACTTGAACTGTCTGTCCTCAGTAAAAGCAAAGGCCTGCAATGGTTAGTTTTATTGTACTGTGATATCAGGTGCTTGGGCTATTTGTTTTACAATAAAATATGTGGATGGTGGTATTTTAATACTGTTCCATTATTCCATAATCCTCTGATAAATCGATGCCTTTATAAATTCAGGAAAAGAGTTGCAAGAAAAAGAGAAAATAAAATAGGGGATTCTTTGGGTAGGGCCAGCAGTCCTTGGTCTATCCCTTGGTTTCTGTGAGCCAAAAGCAGTGCCCTACCCCTTAAAAACTTGGTCTGTTTTTAAAAAAACAGAAAGTGTTCTTTACCTTTCAAGATCATGATTGGTTTCTTTGAAGGAATTATACAGCAGCTCATACTTTTTAAGTTAGATTCAAACTTTTTATACATTACAGACTGGCTTTTCCTAAAATGTAAGAGCCTGAAGGGCACAAAATTTAAATCCTAGATCCTCTGTTTCTTACCAAATGACCATATCCAGCTCCATCAGTAAATCTGTATGCACCAGTGAATGCTCTGAACTGGATTAAATGTGAACAAAGAGCTGGAGTTCTTTTAGCTTTGTCCACTTTTTCTTTGAGCTCCTACAGTAAACTGTCAGTACTTGTTTCTCTCTCTCCCCCCCTTGCCATTAGCCTCTGGGAAATAGTTTGTGTGAAGAGAACTCGCTGGCTCTCTCTCCTGATGTTATCTTCAGATGCAGTACCTTTGGGCACTGCCATTAGGAGCTTAACGTGTTTTTTCTTCACCTTCAGTTTTGCAGGGAATGCACAGGGTTGATCATGTGAGGGTGGCAAACTGAGGCTCTGGAAAACGCTGCATCCCAGGAGCTGCATGGGCTGGGTCCAGCACGGTGGTCCTGCCCTGGGCAGGGTGCTGGGCCCTGGCTGGGCTGGCTCAGTGACACCAGCAGAAATTGCTGCCTGGTGTGAGGTGGGGCTGGAGCAGCTTTGGCTCACGAGGGAATTGCTGCAGGAATTGTGCCCTCTGGGTGGTGGGACAGGAGCTGAGGGAGCTCAGGGGGCAGAGACTGAGCTCTGCTCTGGGGGGACCAGGGACAGCAGCCAGGGAATGGCTGGAGCTGTGTCAGGGCAGGCTCAGGTTGGATCTCAGGGAAAGGTTCTTCCCCCAGAGGCTGGTTGGGCACTGCCCAGGCTCCCCAGGGCAGTGGGCACAGCCCCAAGGCTGCCAGAGCTCCAGGAGGGTTTGGATGATTCTCTGGGACACAGGGGGTGACTCTTGGGGATGGGCCTGTGCAGGGCTGAGAGTTGGACTGGATGGTCCTTGTGGGTCCCTTCCAACTCAGCACATTCTGGGATTCTGTGTCCCTCCTGCAGTGGGTTTTTCCAGCTCAGTGTCTCTGTTCCCTGAGTTACTCAGGGGTATGTCCTGCCCTGGCTTTCCAGCATCCAAAGTCAGCTGCCTTTCCAAATGCATCTGCCAGGGCAGCCTGGGGCCCCTCATGCCCAGTGGGGTCAGGTTTTGCACAGCCCTGGGTTTGGTCACCAGGACTCCACAGCCCTCGATGCCAAAGCT